GGAATTATTTTAGGATCATAAATAATGTTTTGTTTACTTTTTAAACTCCAGTAAGAAAACTGTGCACAAATGTTTAAAATGTATATTTTCAAAGTCATAAAATTTATAGGGAGAAAAAAGATTGAAGCTAAAAGAATTGGCTAAAAACAGAAAATATTACTAAGAAATTGTTAATTTTTTTAAAGAGTTTATTTATTACTTACATCATTTGTGCATTACATGGATGGCAAAAAGGAAAAATTTGTGTAGAAAGGCAATAAAGTTGTGCTTTTAATAACATGCAAATTTATGCATTTGAATATACACACACACACACACACACACACACACACACACACACACACACACATATATATATATATATATATATATATATATATATATATATGGCCTGAAGATTGTGGTTAAGCATGAAACAGACTGTTGCTGCTTAGTGTTAATTTCAATGTCCAGTTTTATATTTAATACACTCTATTCCTGTGTCATATCCTGTCAGCACTCCTACATTTTTAATAAAAAAACACAAGAAGCCTAACCTTCCAGGACCATCAATTGTTATAAAACTGATTCTGGATATAAAAAGGCCTGAAAGTTCTAAAAACAGCATTCTGTGGCCAAGATAACTAAATCAAAGTGTAGTATCCATTCCAATAACAGATAACCATCTCCAGCTCCAGCCAGCCCACCATCCTCGTCAGCAGTAATGATATACAATAAACTGCTGTAATTGAATGGCGAAGGATGAGTTCTTGTGGTAAATGGAGAAATTGTATTGGATCAATGGGTCATTCTTGTGATTAACTAGAACTAGGATAATTAGTAATGACGAGCCTCCCTCCTTTGGCCTTGTGCTGCAATTATTGTAATTTTACAATAAGAAATAAAATGATATGTGATAAACTGTCCTTTTCAGGACAACAACAACAAAACTGTCCTTCAATATCTGTCTATATCTCTGAGATGAGGTATTATGATTACTTACATTATCTGTCTATATTTCTGAGATGAGGTATTATGTACACTATTTACATTATTCGGACTATTGTCCTCATCTTTGTCGCCATGTTTATCACAATGTTTTGGCCGTTGTACACTCTGGCCTTCTTCAGGTGGTTGAAATGTTGAACTGAACCCTTTATTTCACTCACTGGGGTAGACTGTTCTAGTTCCATGTGCCATGTCTAATAGATGTCAGTTATCTCCTGTTAATTCTCCTCTGAAAGTTCTCCACTGCCTTAATCAGGTATTGAACTCACACTCTTTATCTTGAGGACACATGGCACAGTGGATAAAGGCATTAGTTAGATCCAGTGACAGGACCCAAAGGAGTATGAGTTCAATACCTGGTTAAGGCGGTGGAGAACTTGGAGAGGGGAATTAACAGGAAATAGCTGATAACTAGAACAGTCTACCCCTGTGAGCGAAATAAAGCGTTCAGTTCGACATTCCAACCACCTGAAGAAGGCTGGAGCGTACAATGGCCGAAACGTTGTAACAAACATGGCGACAAAGATGAGGATAATTGTTCAAATAATGTAAATAGTGTACTTACATTATTCATCTTATTCGGACTGTTATTGTCATCTTCATTGCTATATTCACAATGTTTTGGCCGAGCATACAATGACCAAAATGTTATGAATATGACAATGAAGATGAGGATAATAGTTTGAATAAGATGAATAATGTAAGTCCTCTTTAAGACAACGCTCTTTTCACCCTCTACATGAACATGCAGATTTATTTTTTGCCTTATTCACTGGACCTTATTTTTGCCTATGTATTTTCTCCAACAAAAATAAGCTGGGCAATATAAATACATATTTTTTTTTACGCAAGTCTTCATTTCATTTGTTTTTGTCTTCCATCATTCAATATATGTTTGCAGGCAAATATAGCACCTGCAACACCTGATATTGAGCACTTTAATTATTTGATTTCTGGTTATTTTTCAGACATATTGTTTTTCATTTTTGAGCATTCTTGTATTTCGCTTTTTCATAGAGAGAGATAGAATGTGTGGTTATAAAACTCAACACTGCATAATGACAGTCAGTTTGATGTCTCAATAGAATCATCTGAAGTTCACACTGAAGCAGGAAACTGACAATCATCGTGCAGAATTGATTACTATATGAACACTGTCTATAAATGTTTCATCTTCAATACTGAACACTCTTCCCCTATAAATATAGTAAATTTAAAAAACATACATACATACATGCATATATATATATATATATATATATATATATATATATATAATGAGTAACTGGAGAGCCGATTTAGAATTCCAGTTGAGTTTATTACATTCACTTACATGTTAATACCCTTGGAAAAGGTATGAATCCATCTCTTCTAAAGTGTGGGTAAATACCAGGACAGACTGGGTTCTAGAGCCTTTGTTGGTATATAGTCTAGGAGAAGGACAACTCTGAATTCAAAACCTGCTTAGGGTTGTTTAAGGACCTTGTAGCATACTGAACACCAGTTCTCTGTATTTGTCTCTTCCAAAAAGTGTGGTTGGTTCTGCACAAGCCTTCACCACTATAATCAAAATGATATGTGCAGGTAGTCTGGCTTTGGTTCTAAGAACTGAGCTGCTTGACCCTCATACACCAAAAACAACAGGAGAGTCCAGTAGTATATATATATATATATATATATAGTGGAAGTAGATTAGATTTTCAATGGACCCTTAAAGTTGTCTGTTCTTTAATTTTATCAATAGACTTTTAAGGTTGTCTGTTTTTTAATTTTAATGTCTGGCCCTTACCCTGCTCCCTTACTCTTAAGTATCTTAATAAAAATAGATTTAAAATTATTCCTATCTCTCCCTTCCTTCTTTAATTTCGACCATATCTGTTGTTCTCTTCCTCTCTCTCTCTCTCACCTTACATAAACTCAAAACTACCACTCAAAAACGTATAAAAATAATATGCAAATTTTAAACCATTTTTTTTTGATACTTGGAAATGTGATCTGAGGAACCACGAAAAAAATATAATCAATGGACCCTTAAGGTTGTCTGTTTTTAATTTAAATTTATATATATATATAAAACGGATGTAACAGCAAAATTGTCCAATTGTCCAAGCTTTGAACTGTTGTATCTTAGAAATGATTTAAGATATCTTAATGGAATTTTACAAAGTTTTTATAACACTACTGGACTCTACATTGAACAATAAGAATGTATAATTACTCTCTAAGCTTAACAGAAGAATCATGATGAAATCAATCAGAAAGAAAAATGACATTTTCATCATTAATTAATCATAGCTAATGATCAGAAGTTCATGAAGGATTGAAATAAAGTTAATATATATATATATATATATATATATATATATATATATATTATTTCAGGATCATTTTCCAACTTATTCAAGATGATCTTCATTCTCTCTAACCTTCTGCCTTAGAGTAACTAGGTGCCTCACAGGTTTCACATATGAGTTCATTTTCAAATCTTTTTTCACTGCTCTTTGAACTGACATAGCTGAAACTCCTCTCTCACATGCCAAATGTATTATGGATTGAATTGGATCTTTTCTAATTGATCTCTTTAACTCTAAGTTGAAATGATGATCCCTCTTCCTGTTGTGATCTCCTGATCTAGTTTTCGTCTCTAATTCTTTCCTTCTTTTTAAAACTTATTCACCATTCTCTTGAACGGACTTTGAAGACGGAAGCCAGTCTATGAATGTTGGTACCATTACTGAAGACCTGAATAATCTTTTTCCTCTCACCATTGCTCAGTTGGGAAGACAGTGGGTCTGACACAAAACAATTTCAACCTGCTCTCTTTTTAGTTGAATAACTCAAAGGTTTTTTCAGTGATTCTTATGACAAATGGTGTCAAGATGTCTAAATGTCTTATCTGAAAACCTGGAAAAAAGAAACTCAATTAGTTTAATATTTTTTTAGATAGTAAACATTTTGTGGGATGGACAATTATGTTATCAGACTCAGTATATATGCATATATATAAAATGTATCTGTTATTATATCTAACAGACTTAACTTCTGTCTTAGCCTTGATGTCCAGATTCATCTCTGTGAAACTTTGAAGATAAGTCCATAAACTTTTTATTTATTTATTCACTATACACACACACACACACACACACACGCACACACACACATATATATATATAATTATATATTATGTATGAAAATCTATTTTTCTCATAAGTTTTAATTCACTTTGTAAATTTCATATGGCAAAAAAGTTCTCCAAACATAAGATGAATTATTAAAAAAATAGATTGTTTGATGAAAAAAAATAATTTAACACAAAAGAAAAAATGACTGTAGCCACTTTGAAACATAAGTAGTATATTTCATAAGAATAAAAAAATTAAAATCACATCGTTATTGTTCCATTACATAATATAGTGGCCTAGATTCTACCCCCAAAATTTGACATTTTAATCTTCTTGTTCATATCAACATCATGGACCAATTGTATTATTATATAACCAACTAGTTTATACATACCATAAAAATGACTGCATCTACTGCTCTTTGGTGGAGTTGGTCTTTTCATCTCCTGGCTTCATCTTGGAACAGTGCCACCTGATATTACCTTTGCAAGGGAGATAACTCTAATACAGCAAACAGTTACAGGTATTAGAGACAGAAATCTTTCAAATTCACTTGGCAGTTTGTTTTGTAAGATGACTACCAGAAAATTTCAACCATCAATTCAAAAGGTTTCATCATGGCAAAGAAAATTGCCAAAAATAGTCACCTTTTGAAAGAATTATTGTACAAATTAAAGAATATTCAAAGAGGACAATAAAATTATCATTATTAGAGACTCAGCTGTGTGCACACACTGACACATACAAACATACGCATGCACACAAACATACAGAAACACACACATATATACACACACAGAAGAAACACACATGTATGCATACACATATATGAATATTTTATTGATAATGTTGGTCTTTAAAAATTTATGATAAAACTATGAAGGGCTTATAGTCATATCATATTGAAACACTGGTTCTCATTCGATCACCAAAGTTAAGCAATGTCAAACCTGGTCAGTACCTAGATGGGTGACCATTTGGGAATACCAGACACTGTAAGCTTGGATGTGCAAGTGGTGATATGGATAATGGCTTGGAATGAGAAATCAGAGAGCCGAGTTCAAATTCCAATCAGGTTCATTATATACACACATGTGCAAATACTCTTAAGGAAGGTATGAATCCACTTTACCTTACTATGGGTTAAATATTAGGGCATGTGTAAGAAAATCATTATTATCCCAAAAACTTTCTTCCAATCTAAAAATAAATGTTGACTTTAAATAACCTTAAAAATGTTAATAATCCATAAAAATGAAATCTATCAAAATTATGAAATCAGTTAAAAACATCACCAAATTTATTTCAAATTTACAGAATAAACATGAAAATTAGACAATTATTCTCATTTTAAATTTACAGTGAGTGAATTGAGTAGATTTTATAAGCACAAATGTACTGAATGCTGATTATATAGGAAGGTAGTGTTTTACTAGAGTGTTGAGTGCTTGCTGGAAAATTGGATTTTTTTTTTCACAATCTAAAAGTTTAGTCACCAACCACCCTTGTCAGTTAGTTTGACGTTTGGTGTTGCAATTATCTGAAAAGTTACTTTAATTGGACACAGACCATTGTAAATAATTGCAATCAAGATTTTGTAAATTGATGTTAGGAAAATTAATGACAAAGTGGAAAAGATTTTTCATGTGAAGCATTTCATCCTTTAGGACTTCATCAAAATAAAGCAATGTTTGGGTATATAGTCAAGCCAATTTTATTTAGTTTTTATTTTCTTTTTGTTCATATTTTTATCAGTTTTGTTATGAAGTATCCCACATTGTCATAACAAAAAATCTGCCAAGAAAAGTGAAATATTTAAAAACTTGGATGCAAATTCTTTGTGGATGATTCAGTGATTAAAGCACTTTCTATGCATTTTCATTTTAATAAATTGCTTTCTCTTTTTTTTTTAAATTAAAGTAGCATTTTTAAATCAAAATTGTAGTCAGACTCATTATGGTGAGTAACTAAGGCATTGAGTGTGTTGTTTTGCAAAAGTTTCCTTTTGTGTTTATATAATCTTTTATTTAAATTCCTCAAGGTTTTTCTTATATATTCCTTGTGACAATTATTACAGGTTATAAAGTAAATTACTGCTTCTAGTTTTAGCTTATTAGTTTGTTTTGTATTAATTAAGTCTTTTATTGCTTTAATTTTTTTATTGTTTTTAATTTTTTCCAATTTGACATTAATTTTTTCCATTTTGCCATTAATTTTCCTAATATCGTTTCTATAATAATTTATATGTCATTTTCTCCAAAATTAGTATGTGAGCATGGCTGGTTGTATAAGTCTGTGCATGTGATTAATGTGTATACCTACAAGTTGTATAGGTAAAAAGAGGAAGGAGATAGTTCCTAACACAAATAGGAACTTAGTTAATATATTTTATAATATCTGTATTATCTAATGTATTTTTACATTATTTGAACTCTTCAGCAACTTTGAGATTAAAAAGAAACAAACCACGTATTATACAAAACATGAAAGTGACTAAAAATATGACTGCATTTAATCAATATTAGATTAACAAACAATAAAAATTGATTTTGTTAATATTTCAATGTTTATTTATATCATCATCAGAGAGTAGTTTGCAGAAGTGGGGCAGAGGGTGTGATGACCCGAAGCATCCGTATCGGAAGGGTATCCAATCAAAGACTGAAATAAAAATTTAATTTACATTTAATTTGAATAAAGTGTTTATTTCAGGGTTCATTTATTTTTACATATTTAAAATGTCTACCAGCCTCACATTTCTCAGTACTAGGCCCTACAGGTCTCCCCCTGCCCCATTTGAGTCTTGGGGTCATTCAATCAAAGAGTTGGCCCCAGGGCATTACCAAGCATCACTAAACCTCTGCATATCACTGTTCTCTGAACAGAATAAATACAATTTTAATAAATTCTGTGATTTTATAAGTAATTTTTAAACTATATTTCAGATTATGCAAAATGTCAGAAACATTAAAATGTAAATAATGAAAATAATTCTTAAATTAATTACTTGAAGATTATTAATGTTTGATTAATAAAAAGTAATTAAATGTTTGATTAATAAAAAAGAGAGGGAAATTTATTTTTATTTACTGTCTGAATTTCTGGGATGAAGAATTATTATATTATTTACATTCAAACTATTGTCCTCATCTTTGTTGCTATTATCATAACTGTATATATATAACAATAGGAATGGCATCCACTTTATCCACTGCACTTTATCCACTGCACCATGTGTCCTCAAGGACACATGGTGCAGTGGATAAAGGCATTGGTTAGATTCAGTGACAAGACCCAAAGAGTGTGAGTTCAATACCCAGTTAAGGCAGTGGAGAACTTACAGAGGGAAATTAACAGTCCGAATAATGTAAATAATGGGCATATTGAAAGTTTTTGAAAAATAGAAAGTCGGCCTCACGAATTCTAGCCATACCCAACACACAATGGCTTGAAATTAACGTTCGTAATAGAATTCAAAACCACACAATATATGTCACGCATTAAAAAACTAACATCATCAAAAACAAACCCCCTTGAAAATGGCTATGGAAGTGTCCGAAAGCCCTTGGGACAATGGACAGTATGTACATGGGCAGTTTTTGTACTCCCTCACTCCCAACAAACAGAAAAATGTAATAATGCTGGAAAAACTAAATAAAAAATTTATAAAATTTTTATTGTCCATCATATTTAACAAAAGATGTTTAAAAGAAAGTTTGCTACCCAAATATATATTAATATATATATTTAATAAACAATAAAATCCCAAATTACCTCATATGTGAAATAGCCTATTTTGGCAGATGAAGATATCGGTTGTCTATCTTATCAACACCGGTGTGGGCTGAATTCATGTCTATACAGTGAAGGAGGGGTGGGAAATAGAATTTAACTGTGGAAGCTAAAAAAGTCAACCAGTTGAATACAGAATTTATCCATTTCAATATTTCAGTCAGACAAAATGCACAAGACAGTATAGACACAAATTTAGTCTACACTGGGGTTGATAAAACAGACGACCGATATTTTCGTATACCAAAATAGGCTATTTCCAATATGAGGTAATTTTAGATATAATTTTTTATTCATTATATTGCTCTGTATTAGTAAATACATTGAGCTCTTTTTGTGGATCAGTTTTAATATTTTATATTACTAGAATCCACTTCGATTATATACCAATGGATTTGTTACTTTTACTATTATTGTATCTTTAAAGAGGTTACAAACAGACAAAAGTGGTACTAGAGTGAAAGGAACAGCAACATGCATGTAGATGAAAGAAAGAGAGGTTTACTGTAAAAAAGAATACACTACTGAAAGACAGGGAATTGGTTAGCAGGCTAACAAGTCCTGAGGCAAGTCACCAGGTATAGCTTGTGCTCACTACATATATCTATTGATATAGTCATTCCACATAGGTGATAGGGAATGTGGGACATTCCATTACAACAACTATATATATATATATATATATATATATATATATATATATATATATAATATAATAATAAAGGCTCAAACACTAATATTGTCTGGTATAGCTTGTGCTCACTACATATATCTATTGATATAGTCATTCCACATAGGTGATAGGGAGTGTGGGACATTCCATTACAACAACTATATATATATATATATATATATATATATAAAAGCTCAAACTCTAATATTCCATGGTTATAATTTATTACATTAGAATCATAATCATGATCCAATTCATCAGACCTACAAATTCAAAAAGCTTTTTGAATTTGTAGGTCTGATGAATTGGATCGTGATTACAATTCCAATGTAATAAATTATAACCATGGAATATTAGTGTTTGAGCCTTTTATATTATATTCTTGCTCTGTCCTGGACATTGAGCTCTACCTGGATTCTGTCCACTTGGAAATGTGTATATATATATATATATATATATATATATATATATATATACTGACCACTAATATTATCTATCTATCTATCTATATATATATATATATACTGTCTTTTTTTCCCCAGTATTATGTTAGTATATATGGTTCCTTCTTTTATTTATGTTCAGGTTGCCTGAAGATTATGGTAGTGTGAAACTTAAGTAGCAGTTTGAACTTTGTCTCTTTCTAAGGTGTAATGCTGAGAAGCATATTTGCTCTGTCTTGTTAACTTAGGCATAGAGCACTGTTTATTACTGTTTAAGTAGGTGTCTGTCTTCTTGGGGGTTTTTCTTAGTTTATATTTCTTCTTCACACTTTCTTATATCATTTTTTTCTTTTTTCTATTATGTTTTTTTTAATATTTATCCTCTTCTATTGAATATAACTTCCCGAAGGGCACATGCTAAAGCTAAATTGCTAAAGGGAAATAACTGAAATTGAGATATCCAGAAGAGGTGTGGAACTATAATAATCTAGCCCAGTGAATGGAATAGTGTTCAGTTCAAAATTCCAATCACCTGAAGAAGGCCAGAGCATACAAAGACTGAAACATCATGAATATAAGGACAACAGTCCAAACAATGTAAATAGTGTAAATATAAATTCTTTTATATGGCATGTTTTTTCATGATTTGGCCGGTCATGGCACTCCTCAATTTCCTGTTTTTTTGCAATTCTTGTTCCTTTAGTGCCCTCTTTTGTTAATCTTCTGCTATCTCATCACTCAAACTCATCAAACAGGTTACTGGCTGTTTATTCCTTTTTCTTTTGCCTTCATTACATCCTATGTGTACTTACAACCACATCATGCTGAAACACTGGTTCCCATACAATCACTGAAGTTAAGCAACTTCGTGCCTGATCAGTACCTAGATGGGTGACTGTTTGAGAATACCAGGCACTGTAAGCTTGGATGTGTGGGCGGTGTAATGGATAATGGCTTGGAACTGTTAATCGGAGAACAGAGTCCTAATTCTCATTGGGTTCATTATATTCAATGAACATCATTGTATCTTATGTAACATCATTGTAGATTATGTCACATAAGCTACAATGAACATCATTGTAGCTTATGTAATAGCATTTCCCCTATTGAGCGGTATTTGGTTGATTTGAGCTTTTTAAAACTCTTTATTCTACATTCAACACCATCACTTGAGAAAACACCAGAAGTGTTGAAACAAAATGGCTATTTTTGTAGTGATGTTATAACATGTTTATGTTATAATGTTTGAATAAATAAAATAATATATATATATATATATATATATATATATATATATATATATATATATAATTGCTGATGCACACTGACAAGTGGATAGAGTGATTATTAGAGGGCTATCTATGAAACTCTGGAGTCAGGATTCTGAAGGTAACATCAATCAGCTAAGATATATATATATCAAGCAGCTCAGATATATATATATATATATATATATATATATATATATTAGTAGTTCATAAGGTTAGTGTTGCTACCTTGCTTTTGAGCACTTTTTTATTACACACATTTTTAAACTGCCCTTTTTAGTGTTTGTTTACTTTATATATATATATGTGTGTGTGTGTGTGTGTGTGTGTATTTACTGAAGAATTAATGGATTTTATTTTTTAATCCAACATTTTTATTACTTCAAACATTATTTTCAGTTGATACTCATATTTGAGTAGATACTTCATTTATTTATTAAACAGTTTATTACCTTCAGGATTTGAATGTTGCAGGAGGAACCACCATTTGATCTGGCGTGCTTTGACCACTCGACTATGAAGATCTTCACAACCAAGCAAGGTTCTATTTGCCTTAATTGTGAAGGTTTTATGGTCAGGTTAGGCTTAGATCTGCTACTGGTAACATGTAACCCAGTATAACTTGCCACATGTAGGGGTGGATGATGTCTAAACCAGCTTTTCTGCTAGTGAGGAGCTTAGCATATCACCCTACAGGATGAAAAACAAGACATGAGCTTCTTATAGGAGCCAACAGCCAATATATATATTCTCGTTACATTTAGTAAAAAGTGTCTCCCACTGGGACATGTTCATTTTCATGCTTTTTTATATTTTTCTTTCTTGACTTTTGAACTCTTTCATATATGTGTCTATCATGTAGGCCTACACATACACACACAAAAACACACATTCTCCAGTTTATGTTTTCTATGAAACTAGTCTCTAAATGTTTTTACTCTGCAATAATTGTTGTGGAATAAATTTTCCAGGTGCCTGTAAATATTTACTATCCAAAGTGTTGATTCCTGCAACATAATGCTGACTAAATATTTGCCTAAAATATACCAGTAATCCCACAACACACACACACACATATAGATATTACACTATTTACATTATTCAGACTATTGTCCTTATCCTTGTCACCATATTTATTACAACATTTCGGCCGTTGTACACTCCAGACTTCTTCAGGTGGTTGGAATGTCAAACTGAACCCTTCATTTCGCTCACTGGTGTAGACTGTTCTAGTTCCACATGCCATGTTTAATGGATGTCAGTTATCAGTTATCTCCTGTTAATTTCCCACTGAAAGTTCTCCACTGTCTTAACCGGGTATTGAACTCTCATACTTTGGATCCTGTCACTGGATCTAACTAATGCCTTTATCCACTGTGCCATGTGTCCTTGAGAACATGTGTGCATGAATTTCTGGGTATTATAAACCTAATGTCTTCAACAACCAATTTTTTAACAGTGCTCATATTGCAATTTTTGTTGTTATTATCGCTTTTCTCTGGCACTCCTTATTACTGGTTCCCATATTGTATTCATTTCTATGCTTGGTCGGCTCAGGAGAATTTTGTGGCCTAGCATATAAATAGAAATAAAGGGTTCAGTTCGACATTCCAACCACCTGAAGAAGGCCGGAGCATACAACGGCCGAAACATAATAAATATGGTGACAAAGATGAGGACAATAGTCCGAATAATGTAATTAGTGTACATAATACCTCGTCTCAGAAATATAGATATACATACATACACACACACACACACACACATATATATATATATATATATAAGGCTAGGATGGGGTCTCAAGACTTGAATGGCTGGAGATAAAAACACTCAGTCTACTTAGACTACTGTGGACATCTGAGTTAAGTCAGGTAGGATCCACCTTGCTTTGTGTGAGATTAATTTCAGTCCTGACTAAAAAAAAAACAGCTATGTATGTATGTACAAAATAACTAATGTCCCTTACTTTGGAACAGTTTCTGAATACATTGTGTTGGTGCTTTTGTAATTGGTACCAATATGAAAAAGTTGTTTGTGCATAAGAAAGGTATCACGTGACATTCATGTGAGAGGCATGAAATAGAGTCACTTTATTAGTTGGAGCCAGTCCATCAGAGCAACTGCACATTTACTTTCAGACCTCCAACTTCTCTTGTCTGATATGACTGAGATAAAGTCATTGACATCAAACATGAGCATACCAACACTCAAGTAAGATCTTAATATGTTTCTCTTTTGTGTGTCGCTTTACGTGTATCTGTTTCACTACTTGAACAAACTATTATCACATTCATGTTCTGTAAATATGTAGATAAAGAAAGAGTTTTTCTCAAACATATCCACATATCATTGTCTGTTTTCACCCATAAGTGTTACCATATTGTAGTTATAGCAATGTTTATATTGGGATGTTTAGGTAAATTTCTCTCCACCAGCCATTCAAGTATAAAGTATAATATTTTTTTAAAATATTTTGTAAAACGTTTTCAATCAGATATTGTTCTAAATATATAACATTCGGTAAATAATTCACGGCTCTTCAATATGTAATTACGTGAAATTCAGTCAAGAAAATTTGCGTATAAGTGTTACCAGCAATTCAATCAACAAAGATCAGTTTGAAGCAATTTTGACAATGTTGGTGTTCCATACTTGCAATGGTTGCAACCTTTTTTCCAGCTGTTCATTAAGAATGAACTCGGCTGCTTCCGGAAGTAAACAAAAAGTTGACTTGCTTTTATTTGCTACGAGAAAACATCGTAGTTGAAAAAAGTGCCTAGAAATGTCTTGAACAAAAAATGTCTTCGATTTCAAGTGTAAGCAGACTTGTAACGAATGGTATAAATTTAATTTCAGTAGTAGCAGTAATGTCGCTAATAATATAAAAGTAAGTTGAGAAGAAGGCAAATAAATTTCTAAATGTCATGGAATGAATGAATCTTTCGTGTAACTGTAACATTAACAACGATGTAACTATTTTTTCAATAATGACAATTACTTTTTCTTTTCTTAGTGTTTCTGAAATGTTCATTACATTAAATAAATAAGCGCATGTCGAAAGAAGCATTTGTGTGAAATTTAAAACTTAGCAGTTTTTGCACGTATTTTAAGTTTTAAAAATAAAATGAAAGAAATCTCTGAAGTCTCTACGAACTTTTAACGTTACATTTTATGTTATTGTTTCACGGGTGTACACTGTACAGATTGTTACTTATTTAAATCACTTTTGAAATTGAAATATAGTTACTTGATCGTTTTCTTCCTAGCAAAATAGCGAAGAAGAAGAAGGATCAATGTCCGTCGCACAATCGATGCTAGCAGCTGCTGTTCCATTATTAATTTATTTTAAAGCACTCATAATTTAGCTGGCATGTTCAACAAAGATTGAATAAAAAGGCAACAACAACAGAGACATTCTTTCTTGTTTCTTTGTTAGAACCAAGAGAAAACATGATGAGGCGTACAGCAGCCGCCTGTTTCTCTCCTCCGCCATAAAAAGAAACAAAACAAAATAAGAAACAAATAGTCGGAATATTTTCCCGCGTCTCTTGGCTCGCCACAGACGCCACCACCGACCTTTTATTTTTAGAAATTATTTATGGGATAATAACGAGTTTTTAGTCCAGTTGCTATTGGCAAAACCAAAAATAAAGTTCCTGATACTAAGATTTAAAAAATAATTCTATAGTCCTACAGATGTTTACATTATTATTTTGATTAATAAAATCTGATTTATTTATTTTCATCAGGTGATGAAGACAGTCAGTTTGTCTCTCTGCACAATAGTAGAAGTGCAGAATTAGAGAGGAATATTTTCATCATGAAAATTGATTATTTTATTCCAGTAGTTAGTCATTTTTAGTAATAATCGGTTTAAATAGTTAATCATGAACTGATATTTAAAAAGTATCATTTTCTTTTTGTGCGTGTCTGCTTGAATAATTTTTTTTTTTTTTTTTACATTTCTTTTTTTTTTTTGTACTACTTTTTTGTGGGGACATTTTTTCCCACTAAGTGATAAATTATTGGAATCGGAATTAAAATGAATTATTTTAACTATTGATGAAGCTAGAAAATATGTATATGGTAAATAAATCAGTTCTGTTGATTTTCTTCTGGTGATCAGAAGCCAAAATTTTAAATGCTGATTTTCAAGGGAGGGAGTTCATCTCTGTTTGGAAGACTGGTAAAGCACAATCTTCCATTTTTATTTGGTCTTTTGAAAAATTAAACTGGGATTAGAAACTATCCATTTAATTGGCTATTTATCATGTAGATATAGATAGATAGATAGATAGATAGATAGATAGATAGATAGATAGATATAGATAGATCGATCTAGATGTTGTAATGAAATCATACAAAGAAAAGTTTACAGTTATTTGAAAAGTTATAGTAACCTTTGCAATGTCAACTTTCAAATGAAAGGTGAATAGATTGGAAAATAAAAAACAAGTTTATTTCTTTAAAAAAAAAAAATGCCTAAATATATAAATTCTACTTTTGTAAAATTTACAAAGATCCCCACAACTATTTGGATTGAATATTTTACCAGTTATCAACAGGTGTGTTTTAAATTGTTTCAGTAGAATAATTAAAATTGTCAAAATATTTTCACTCTTGTGTCTTATTCATTCATAAATAAAATGAT